ATTAAAATTTTTGTTTTACCTGTTATTGACAAATTAAATGGAATATTATATTATCTTATTTTAACGTAATGCAATTCTAAACTCCTAAACAAACAATAAAGTCAACAGTTGTAACTTCTAAACTCTTTGTGCCCTCAGCTTTACAGAAAGAAGTTTAAGCAGAGGAAGGAGAATGAGCGCCGGGGCAGATGCCGCTTTTTCCCGTCCCATGTGCCCCCAATTTTCCCGCTCACCCCCGTCCCGTCCGCTCCGCTTCCCTTTCCTCTCTACCCTCCCGGCATCATCGGCGGAGATTATGACCAGGCGCCCGTCATCCTGCCCCGCCCACGCTTCGACCCCATTGGCCCACTCCCCGGTCATCTGCCAGGATTGGGCGTTCCGATTGGCCGACGGAGCCTGAGGCCGGCAGACATCAGGAGAGGTTTCATCTGAGGTTCAGCACTTGAAATGCTTCTTTTTCCAAATAGATAGAGGGCACACAATTTTTTTTTTGTTCTCTGCTAATTAAAGCATTCCTGGGACATTCAGACCAACAAACACAACGTGAATATTCTTTAAAGGGGTCATCGGATGCCCATTTTCCACACGCTGATATGATTCTTTAGGGTCTTAATGAAAAGTCTGTAACATAGTTTGGTTAAGATTTCTCAACGGTAGTGTCAAAAACAGCTCTTTTCAGAGCAAGCCGTTTTGTAGCATTTTCCTTTAAATGTTAATGAGCTCTGCTGACCCCGCCCCTCTCTTCCGAGCCACTGTCAGAGAGACTGTTTACTTTAGCCGCACTCATCGTGAAACTTGCTAATTAGCACATTATTAGGAAAGGCGATTCGCAAAGATTCGTTACAAAACCTTACACACTTCTTCTGTAGATGAAGCTGGATCACGAATGATTCGCGCGAACATAAACGCATTTATGTAGATCGCGGGCGCATTCCCTTCAGAAACAAATGTAATCCTCTGCGTCTTCAGCGGCTCAGATGTCGGGAGTAAATGACGACTGCTGTTCATTATTACATCCAACAACAGAACACCTCGATCGCTCAGGAGACATTCTCGTCTACATCTGCTCCGGCGGTGAAACAATGGTGGACTGATGACAGTCACTCAGGGGCGGAGCTAAGACACCAGTCCAGTCTGTGCTGAAACACTGCTGTCAATCAAACTATAGTGGGAGGGGCATCTGAGATCGGCTCGATTTGAGAGAGGGGGAAAGATTTTAGTAGATTAAAAACACACACTGGGTGGATTTGTATCATTATAGGGTGGTTTTGTACACACACTGCCAACACATTTCAGTTCAAACAGCTTGTAAACGTGCATGTAGCATCCGATGACCTCTTTAAAGGAATAATTCACCCAAAAATGAAAACATTATAAATAATGCATTAGAGCAAAATGTGTTTGAGGCACAGAAAAACACTCAATAAAAAGTTCTGAATGATTTTTAGTACATCTTGAGTTTGATGGCTTTGTCAACACCTGAGATTATATTTCAATATTATCAAATTATAATTATCATATTTCTATTCCATTTTTTTTTCTATTTTACAGTACAACTGTAACTTACACAGTAATGCATTTCAGCCTTCTCTTTTTATAATTAAAAAATTCTTAGATTTTAAAACACATGGTTTGATATTATTTGATAATACTATATCAAATTGTATTTTTTTTATTTTACAGTACAATCGTAATTTGCAACACTAATATATTAGACTTAATTTTACATTTAGTTAGCATTATAATAATTCACTGATTTGTGAATAGTTTGAAATAATTTATTGATTTGGTATTTTACAGTACAGACTAGTTGGAAATAATTTAGTGACTAAAGAATGATTGAAGTGTATGCTAGATATTTACCTGTACGCGCTCATTATATACATTTTGCACATTTTGAACAGAAAAAGTTACATAGTGCTGCTTTAATTTTGGTTATTAAATACGATGCATTTAAGACGGAACTAATTATGATTTAAGTGTCAAATAATTTTCACAATTCACCACAGGAGGACGACGAAACTCAAAATGTATAGTACAGATGCAAAATATATAGAGTAAATAAAAGGATGTTTATTTGTATAGACTGCATAATTCTGTTATGTTACATTTTTTAAACGTGCAAATGAATTTAACGCCCTCGTTTTTTGGGTCGACAGCTTATAAAAACGTAGTTCTGTGTTTTTTAGCTTGTTTACTGTACACCTCGTCACACAGCAGCTTTTAGGCATCGCTCTGTTTTTGTTACAAGTCAGAAATGACAAGAGAGCGCGCCCTAGGAACAACATTAATGCCGTTTATTCCTGTCAATAACTCAAGCCACAGGCAAACCTTGTTTTGCAAACAATTCAAATTCATTTTGTAAAGTGATTATTCCGTGCAGCTGCAAAAAAATAAATAACAATTGTGAAAATGTTGGAAATCAGGACATTCTGTGCAAGAATCAACAACTTCCCCCCCAACTTTTTAAGAACCACAGAGAGTTCATAACCCACAGCAA